CGCCTTACGGTAAGACTGAGTGTAGTTAAAAACCATGGTGATGTGGGAGATGATTGTTTTCACCTTCAAAGATGGGTCGTTGCTGACCAGGGGTAGGATTTCTTGACAGATGAGATCGTAGTTAAGTTTTCGGTGGTCCTGTGATTGAGTAGAACTTACACAAGTATGGGTAGTCATGGAACCTATGACCAAGCAGTCACCTCTTAATCTGTATGATGCAGTCAGCTTGAACATACAGTCAGGGTGGACACACTTGATCTTGTACCTTTCCGGGTTGACACGGTCCACCTTAAAATCAACCGAGTTGAGCATGTGGAATTTTTTTATGGCTCTGATGCATTCCTCTTTGTTACGAAACTTGTCCTTCTCTTTTAAATTTTCATCTGACTGCATATATGGATTGAAAAATAAGTCAGTAGAAGGTTCATCTCCACCCATGTTGAAGTTTTTCATGTGCGGAGGTGGTGTGTAGATTTCATTTGCAGGAATACTAGGTATGCCATCATCGTCGGAATCATCATTCACCATTTCATCAAACTCTAACTCGTCATCTTCTTCTTCTTCATCAACTGCATCTACCTCAGCTTGTTCATTCTCCAAAGGATCAACCACTTGTGTCACCTGAGGCTCTCGCAGCATAATGTACAACTCAATAGAGTCGTACCCAAAATACACATGGCTGGAAAACATATTCTGGAGATCCTCGTCATCTTGAACTTCAACCTTATAAAAAATTACTTGGTTGTTTCCAAAAAAAAACTGGATTCTGATAAAATATCTGGGTCACCGGGCCTCGTCCAAGTTTGGCCTCCAATCGTTTTTTGAAGTACGAGAAATTGGCTTTCCCGTTTAAGAGAAATAGGATGTTGTCTGTGTCTCTAAACAAAACCCAGCGGTGGGACAAATGTATGTCTCACCGTTGAAATGTGCTTTGACGACAAATTGTGGTGCAGAGGCCATTGCGTAGGGTTGTTTGAAGGTTTGAAGGTTGGAATGTTTGAATTTTATGAGTTATTCGAAGGTTGGAATGTTTGAAGTTTATTGATTGTATGAAGGTTTGAATGTTGTAAGGCTTGAAGGTTGGAATGTTTGAACTTTATGAGTTATTCGAAGGTTTGCATGTTTGATTGTTTGAAGGTTTGATTGTAAGAACGTTTGAAGGTTGGAAGATTTGACAGATTAAGTGAATCAATGTTATGATAAACGTAAGACTAAAAATTTCAATTAAGTAGGGATGTAACCCCCAAGGCTTCCAATAGTGTTACATGCATGGCATCCCAAAGGCTGTCACGTAGCCTGAGCCTAGCCTGCAACCAAGGACACCTCTTATTCGCCAATTGGGATGGAGACACCTTTCATTTTTGTACTCTTTCGCCAAGTCCAATGACGCCTCCCTTACCGTCCAATCGTGATACATGCATGCATATATGTAACCCCCTAGGCTGCCACCTAGCCTGCGCCTACTCTGCACCTATATTGTATCTTGTAAGTCTCCTCCCATCACCTCCAATAGGGTTACATGCATTCAGGCATGGCATCCCAAAGGCTGTCACGTAGCCTGAGCCTAGCCTGCAACCAAGGACACCTCTTATTCGCCAATTGGGATAGCGACACCTTTCATTTTTGTACTCTTTCGCCAAGTCCAATGGCGCCTCCCTTACTGTCCAATCGTGATACATGCATGCAGATATGTAACCCCCTAGGCTGCCACCTAGCCTGCGCCTACTCTGCACCTATACTGTATCTTGTAAGTCTTCTCCCATCACCTCCAATAGGGTTACATGCATTCAGGCATGGCATCCCAAAGGCTGTCACGTAGCCTGAGCCTAGCCTGCAACCAAGGACACCTCTTATTCGCCAATTGGGATGGCGACACCTTTCATTTTTGTACTCTTTCGCCAAGTCCAATGGCGCCTCCCTTACTGTCCAATCGTGTTACATCCTTAGGCTGCCACCTAACCTGCAAGAGTGACACCTTTCATTTTTGTACATGCATGCATATATGTAACCCCCTAGGCTGCCACCTAGCCTGCAAGAGTGACACTTCGCATGCATGCAAGCACCAACAACCACTCTATAAATTTTTTTTGCCTATAAATACATACCATATCATACATCTCTCACACCCACACAAGTCTCACTCTCTGCTACGAAATCTTTCATAATCTCTTACACTTTCTAAGTCTTTCATACTCTCTTACACTTTCTAAGTCTTTCATAATCTCAAGCATTTTAAACAATGGCTCTTATAACAATGGGCGATTCTCACAGAGGCACAAGGGAAAACATTGTTGTATTTGTAAGTTTCTATTTTGGTTATACATTTTTCATACTTCAGATAATGCTTTGTTCATCTTACTTAATCTTACACCTTTTACATTATGAACTCAGGACACCAAAAGATTCAGAATCTGTTCTCACAACTACTTGGCTCCCGACCCATTTATCGTACCATATCTGGAATACGCAGGTTTTAGACATGTCATAAAGATCTCCAATTGCACAATTGATTCAAAGTTCATTCTTGCAATGTTGGAAAGGTGGAGACCAGAGACCCATACATTTCACCTACCAATAGGTGAATGTACCATCACGCTAGAGGATGTGTACATGCTACTAGGTCTCCCTGTCGACGGTAAGGCCGTGAACGGGTCGGTTCAACAACCCAACTCTCAGTGTGAAGAACTGTTGGGCAGGGATATGGTTGAAGGTGGTGGTGCGAGAGGTCAGGGAATACTACTCACTGAGCTTAAAAGTCATTATGCAAGTTTGGAATTAAACAAAAATTCCTCCGAGCAAGACAGAGTAGTAAAAGCCAGAACTTATCTTATGATACTATTTGGTACCTTTTTATTTCCCGAAAGTACGGGAAATAGTGTAAATTTTATGTATTTACATTTACTAAGAAATTTTGAAAAAACAAGAAAATATAGTTGGGGTTCTGCAGTTTTAGTCCACCTATACAGTTCCTTGTGCAAAAATGCAGTCAAGGAAAAATGTACATTTTATGGGTGCGCTTTTTTACTACAAGCCTGGGGTTGGTGGCGAATGGAGTCCTTAAACCCCGTCAACAACAACACTTTCGTTTTCCCGTACGCAACAAAGTAAGTCATCAAGTTATATAATTTATTACTATTCATCTCTTCACCAAATATATGCTAAGAATAAAATGTTTTTCATTTCCTTTAGGTATTGCGTGAGGGGTATGGATTACGGCAAGAATCCAAGATTCAATGTCGCACTATACCGTAATCTGTTGGATCACTTAGGCTCGGATGATGTACGTCGTAGCTTTAAACTTTTCTTCATTTAAATTATTTATACATTACGTTTTCGTTAACCTGATTTAAATTTTATCGCAGTTCGTCTGGAGACCATATTTGGGTTTGGGCCATGATCCAAACCCGGAGGATGCATCAATTTGGACCGCGAAGACTGTAATCATTCGGTTCAACATTATGGAGATGCACCACAACGACCGTGTGAAGATGCAGTTCGGAATGCATCAAGAGATACCGAGTGATCCAACTTGTTTGTCCCCGTGGCATCTTAAAAGGGTCGACGCCCAGTAGGGTCTTACCAACTGGAAAGACTTCGCTCCGAAATGGTGTAAGATGTGGCAGAGGCGTCACCGCTATGTCTTGCAATTCCCGGTTTTCCTTAATCATGGTAATATGCGACACACGGATCAATATTTATCTTGGTACAGGTCGGTTAGTAACCCTGAAATGCACGTGTCTCATCCAAGGTACTTGGTTGACCCACGCACACAATGGGCACAACCCTCGTTTCCCCAACAACAAACCCAAAACCCATCAACCTCCCACCAACCCCCAAGAAGAAACAGAACCACAAACACCCAACCACAATCCCCACCACAATACAATTACACTCAAATGCCCCACAACCAACCACAATCACCACCTCACTACTAATACCCCGATATGCCTCACACCCAACCACAATACCAATCACAATACCAACACACCCGCATACCCCATACACAATTTCAGTCTTCCGTATATCCCAATATGGGCCCCTCAACATCCAGCCTTAACCCTGATATGGGGATGTCGGAAGATTACGAACAAACCGATCCAGCCTACCATCAACCACAATATCACCAAACCACCCAGCATCCTCAATACCAAATACCCCAAGATCCATTTCTTTTCTACCCACCGTACTCAGACGATCAATGCTACAGACCCACCATGGAATCCCACCCACCGCCAACACGACCAAACTTTGAGGGTATGGGTAACCGACTATACCAAAGCGGGTCTTCTAGATATGGAGATCTGACTGATTTTATGGATCTGAACCACATTGACTTCGCTGGGCCATCGACCCTGTCGCAGCAGGAAACACGACGACACCCAGCACGGGAAAGGCGAGGACGGGGATGCGGAACCGGGGGTCATTACCGGGTTTCGGGGGATCACTGATTTATCTGTTTTTTTTTTCTCCTTTTTTTTTATCTGTTTTTTTTATCTGTTTTTTTAATGTAATACAGTTGGATGTAATTATTATTTTTTTAATAAAAAGTCCATTTTGTTGATCCTGTATCCAATACGCAACGCACCGGACAAAAAAAAATTTAAATTTTGCCCTAAAAATACACCTAGGCGCCATCTCACTTGGCTTAGGGCATGCCCTAAGCACATAGGCGCCAAGTGAGATGGCACCTCCCCTTAAAAAATGGGAGTAAGCGCCAAGTGAGATAGCTCCTCCTTTGGGGAGTCATCTGAAACATGGTTATTTGCGTAATTTTTTCCGAAACGAGATTATTTGTGAATTTTTTTTTAATACTTGATTATTCAAAAAAAAAAATCATCGAAATAAACTATAACCAACTATTTCTTAAAACAGAAAGAATATCCAATTCATAACAGAATTTTAATTATATAGTTTCTTCAAATAGTAAGTAGTTGGTAGCTTGATATTTGATGATAGCTTCACTTCTTCATTTATTCTAACAATTAATTTCACCAAGATCTTCAAGTTTTCTCTTCCATGCTTGCGTTGATCTTTTGACATTGTGACTCAACATCGAAATTTTTCAAGCCATCTTCATCGCGGTAATGTTCCTCCTTAATCAATGAAACATACTCCACTGTTTTTCCACCATAACACATAGCCATAACCAAGTAGAACGACACTGCAAAAACCGTGACACCAATCAAGAACCAACTGAAATAAATATTCACCAACGAAACAGCGCGACGAAGAGCCTCTGGATCACTACACCTAACCACATATTGATCCCCTTCTAGTTTCATGAAACAACCTTTGGGTTGATAGCCAGGTGTAAATAGCATGAACCCCATGAACATAAGCCACAAAGCTTGAAAGATTATACCAACACTACGTACAAAGCACACCAAGAAACTCGTTGGAAATCCAATTCCCATAAGGGTTGTCGCGAAACAGATAAAAATCAAAACTTGCAATAAATAATGGTATTGTCCTTCTAACCCCATGTGGTCTCTTGAATGGAAATGAATAAGAAGAAACTCTTGAGTAAATGCTATAGCTGCAAGCAAATGAGTAACTTCATTTTGAGTTTTTCTAGCAATGGTTATTTTTCTATCAAGAATTATAGCAAATGTAGCATAGAGTAAGAAAGACAAAGCCATGGAAGAGTGTTCAAAGTTGTGAAGGTGGTTAGAGGGAATGCTTCCATCTATAGGATCAAATGGTTGGTGATGAAGAGGTGAGATGAAAAGTTCCATAGCTATGAAGATTGTGCAACTTGCAATAATGAAATGAAGCTCTATGTATCTACTTACTTTGGTTGGAAACCATAGGGTTGATGGGTAGGATTTGAGAGAAGAAGAAGAAAGAAAATGGAGTTTGATGTGATTGAAAAAGTGCCATAAACCAATTACAAAGAAACCAAACCCCAAAATTTCATGTCCCTCCATAACGTGCCTAAAAAAAATTGAGATGTTCACTAATAGCAATAATAAGGAAACTCTAAGATGGATTAATTTGGTTGAGATTCGAGGAAATGTGTAGTATTTATGTATGCATTATATGATAGAATACAAGTGTGTGTGTATTTGAGACACTAGAAGAGACAAGGGGTGAACATTTCTTCCACAAGGGAAAAGGTTGTTACTTGTTGTGGGGGGTGACATACGAGGTACAAGGTTTGAAATTTTACGCTAAGAAACAATAGAAAAAAGTTGAAATTAGAAGTTGCTTTTTTGTTAAGGAAATTTCAGGCTAATGGATATATATATGGAGTAGAATTGTAGGACACATCTTTGTTTGGATATATAAACGCAAATTGTGTGAACTAATGTAACGTTGCATCTGTAAATTATTTTTTTATGGAATGGTTAAAACAAAAGCAACAAGGTGAATATTTAAATCATAAATATGCAATTTACATAATCAAGGCACAAATGGAATGATTACTCTTTTGCATTTTCTTTGAAGACAAAATAGCAAAGCATTAACGATTTGCAAACCGAAATTTCTTACAAGTTTCGCATGGGTGAGCCGTATATATAAATGAAGAGAGAAAAAAATCTGTCCATCACATAAACATTAATTTTGTAATTGATAGTATGAAAAATTGAAACAATAAATGTATGCTTCACTTTATATATTCATAAGATATAACTAATACATTACTTCTAATCAATCATAACTAAATAGTAAAATATCTTACGTAATATTGTCTAATTTCTAGTTACTAACATATAATCCAACTATACCTAATAAATGACTAACATAATATAGTGATAATTTAATGACATTTCCTTTTAGAAGAGGGGTTCCAGATCACTTTGATCTATTTCTACAAACAAATAAAAACAATTTCTTCCTTATTAAGATATTTAGTTAAATGGAGTATATTTCATTTTTATACTCATAAGAATATTGTATTGGAAAGTGTCATTTATGAGAAGTTGATTGTGAGAATAAAAAAATCACTAAAAAATAAAATTTATTTATAATTTATTATAATTATCTTGCACCGCCATCTTATTGTTAGAAATCTATTAAAACTATAGAGAATTTCTAACCAATCTTGATTAATAAGATTCAATCACATTGATTGAAATTTCTTGTTCTTTACTTTTTATTTGAGTGAATCAATCAACCTTGATTGCAAGATGATTATGTCTACACAATAATATTGAAAAGACAGAAATTTGAGAAAGAAAGAAGATTAGGGTTTGACGAAAATTGGGAAGATGATGATGATTTATGCAGAGTTTCTGTCTGTCCACGAATTGTGGAAACTTCTCTTATTTCTCTCTTGCAACTACAAGTTTCTCATAAATTCAAGTTCCTACAAAATAAGAGTTACTCCCTTTATTTATAATTGAGCTTGCTTGCTTCCTAAGCCAAAGTCCAAAATACAAAAGCCCACAATAACTATTCTAGACCTAAGTCAAAATCCATGTCGAGGCTACTCATTTGACATTTCGAAACACATTAGGCTAGACTATTTCGACACAACCTTCATTTTTTCGAGAAACCTACTTCGACATAAGGAATTAAAATCTTAACACATCACATAATTCATTGTGTCTAAGCTATCTACATTTATCATAGATCTTAATTTCTTGAACACTTCGACATGCACTCCTTTCGTCATGATGTTTGTAATCTGATTCTCAGTTCTGCAGTATTTCAAGTTCATCTTTCCATATGCTTTTTGCTCACAAAGATAATGAAACCTCATCTCGATGTGCTTGCTTCAACCATGTGCTATCAAATTCTTTGCTAGATTGATAGCTGACATGTTGTTGATCTTCATGGTAATTGCTCCATGATTTTTCTATGTTATCTCATCGACCAAGTTCACCATCCATGTTGCTTGACATGCACAAAGAGAAGCAGCTATGTACTCCACTTCACATGATGATAGTGTCACTATTGGTTCCTTTCTTGAACTCCAAGCAACTGGTGCACCACCTAGCATAAACACGTAGCCAATTGTGGATTTTCTATCCTCAACATCACTACACCAGCTTAAGTCAGTATGTCCCACTAACTTACATTATTTTCCTTTATCGATTGTAGGAAATAAAATTTTATAGTCAAGAGTTCATTTCAGATACCTTAGTATCCTCTTTGTTGCTGCTAGATGTGATACCTTTGGCTTTTGCATGAATCTACTTACCATACCTACACTGTATGTTAAGTCATGCCTTGTGTGACAAAGGTATCTTAGTGAACCAATAAGTCTTATATACTGATTTTGATCGATATCATCTTCATTTGAGTCTTTTGATAGTTGAAGTCATGCTTCTGCGGGTGTGGAAGTCGAGTTGAATTCTCCCATCTCAAATATCTTGAGCATTTCACTTTCATATCTGCTTTGATGTATCATCAAACCCCTACTGCTCTTGTAGAATTCGATGCCAATGAAGTATGAAATGTCTCCCAGATCATACATTTTGAATTCCTTGTTAAGATCACCTTTGAAGTCTTCGATCTCTTTCTTGCAGCTACATGTTATCAATAAGTCATCGACATAGAGACATAGTATAAGCAATTCACTCTTGCTTCTTCTTACATATACTTCATATTCAGTTGCGCACTTCACAAATTCCTCCTCCCTTATAAAGCTATCTATCTTCTTATTTCAAGCTCTTGGAGCTTGTTTAAGTCCATACAGAACTTCATAAAGCTTGTACACCTTTCTTTCTTTGCCATGATTCACAAACCCAACTGGTTGTGCAACATAAACTTCTTCGTCTAAGGGTCCATTTACAAATGAACATTTCATGCCCATCTGGTTGTGTAACCTGATTGTTTCGATCCTAGGCACAAGTGCAAAGACTTCATCAAAGTCTAGCCTTGTATCAAGTTACTTCCCCTTTAGGATTCAACTTCACCTTGTATACACACTTGAAATTGATTGCCTTCTTGCCTTGAGGAAATTCGACAAGTGACATGTGTTATTGACTTTGATGGAATCCATTTCCTTATTCATTTATTTCATCCACTTTGCATCCTTCAATGTTTCAGTTGCATTGACAGGTTTCACATTTGCATATAAATTATAATATACCAGCTAACCTTCATTATCGACCATATCATCTAATGTAATCCTATATTCTTGGAACCTTGCAGACATATGTCTCATTCTTTGAGGTCTGCTTGGGCCTGCATCACCTCTCACTTCTTCTTGAACTTCTTCTCTTTCGACTTTAGTGGTTGGTTCTTCACATAAGATTCTTACTGAATCTTTCTTTACATTTTTTGTCCAATCCCATTCCTTAAGCTCATCGATCGCATCTTGTTGATCACTACTTGTTTATTCATTGGGTCGAACCACTTTTAACCTCAAATCAAATGATATCCTACTAGAATCATTTGACTCGACTTGCTATCAAGTTTTCTTCTCAATTGATCTGACACATGTCTATGTGTTATAGATCCAAACATTTTCAGATGTCTTAAGCTAGGTTTAACACCAGACCAACATTCTTCTAGCGTGATTCCTTCTAGCTTATTCGTTGGATATCTATTCAAGATATATGTTGCTATCGACACTGCTTCTCCCCATAACTCTTTGGGTAAATGCTTGTCATTTAACATACTTCTCACCATATTCATGATGGCTCAATTCTCCATTTATGCAGTTCCATTTTGTTATGGAGTGTAGAGTGGCACCATCCCATGCACAATCCTTCCTTTATCACATAACATGTCGACGTCTTTCAAAATATATTCTCCACCACCATCAGTCCTCAAAATATTGACCTTTCGATCACTTTGTCTTTTGACCATAGATTTAAACTTAGCAAATACCTCGATCACTTCACTTTTCTTCTTGATCAGATAAGTTCATAGTTTTTGACTAAAATCATCTATGAATGTGACAAAGTACTTGTTACCTCCAATTTAATCCACCTAGATATGACCACATACATCGGAGTATATGATTTCAAGAATTTCCTTTGACTTGCTTCCTGCATCCTTGCTGAAGCTATTCTTGTGTTGCTTCGCCTGCACACATTCTTCACACACTTTGTTTGGAATGTCGATTTCTGGAAATCCTATAACCATTTTCCTCTTTTTAAATCTTTGATGTCTTTGAAGTTAATATGGCATACTCGATAGTGCCATATCTATTCATCCATACTAGCTACAGTCGCAAGGCACTTTTTCTCCATCATGTTTAGTTCGATATTGAAGGATCTATTTTGAGACATTGGAGCCTTCAAGATTAACATGTGTCTTATTTTGATGACTGGTCTTACCGGTTTATCAGAACCTACAAGGTGGTCGGGTGATTCTGCAGTTGGGTTGTGATGTCGAGGATGAGAAAAGGGGGTTGTACCTGCAAGACACTCTGACGATTAAGTAAGAGTGGGAACAAGGAGATACAAGCAAAGTGTTAAGGTATTATTGGTGAATAGTGAATATTTGATACCTGACCCTCACAAATGTGAGGGTTTATATAATACCCCTGGCACATGGTCATTGGTTCTGGTTTTTGCGCCTGGATATGCAGGTTTCCAAAAATAGGTAACTTTCAGGACTTGGTCAAACCGGGCAGATGTGCCCGTAACTAGCCGTTGGTTCCGAGGAGGAGGCAAGTTACGGGAAGTGGTCTGGTCGGTTCCTGGTTACCTGTACGACTTGATGTCAAGAAGACTGAGAGGTGTTTGTTAATTACCTTAGGTTAGTATCGGCTTGGGAGGGCAAAGGGTTGATATTTCCCGACAGAGAGCGGGCTGTTCGGACCATGGATGTGCAGGCCATATTGAAAGAAAGGGTTAGATTGGGCCTATTCTAGCTGTCGGGCCAGTGCAGAACAGTAACCCCCAAGTCGTTTCTTCTGGGCATAGGAGTGATGACTTTAACACCTGCTCGTGGAATAGGGCGCGTTTTACGAGGAAAATGAGTGTCTCCCGTTGCTCCTTTCTCGTGGAGAGATGAGGAGTTGGTC